CTCCAATCCCAACTTCACTTTAGATGAAAGTTCCTTCTGAAAATCGCTGGTACCATTTCTAACATATTCTATCGGGGTTACCGGTCTTTTCTTCGAGAGTCGAATAGAATATGTTGCTCTAACGAAATCAACAACACGTTCCATAAGTTTAAATAAAAAGGAGGACATAGGATGTCTTCATCATCGAAACGAAAATTTGTAAAACATCTCGCGAAACGCGGAAAAGGGGCAAAAATAATCTGATATCAAATCAAGCAAAAAAGAACTTTGCAGAATTTTCGTCATTCAGCTTCAAAGTGTGTTTGCAATCCACAAAACTGCTACTGCCGAGAACAAAATTAGGAACAATCGCTATCGCAGACAGAGTCGCTAATAATCCAATGTAGAGATTAATTACTGACGACTTCAAATTTAACTCTTTGAGGTTAGGTGAGTTAAAAAATGTCCCACCTTTCGCTTAACTTTCTATGTATGGTGGGATATATTTTAGCCCAAAAAGTTCGAAAAGTTGAAATTACTCACAGTCATATTACACAGTTTACATAGTCATATATACAGTTTAATATTTTAATATTTTTTCCATTTTTTATTAAAAAAAATTCTGTGCAACTTGGGTTTTCATTTTCTTTAAAATCGTGTGCCTCGAAGAGTTAATTAAAGAAAAGTAAAGATACTCCGCGATTTTTGTAAAAATCTACAGTCTACACCGTGTATAGCACAGCTATAGTTGAAACTAGTTATCATTGTCGTGGACCTCTACAGGAAGATCGCGGATCAATTGAAATTGGGAAATATTTGAAATTCCATCGGGCTAGATTCAATCGGGCGCCGACGACAGAAAGCTGTGCTTCGTCTTCCTTGGCCTTCGTTGCATCTGCGGCGTGCATATTGAAAACGTGCACCGCGAATGCATTATTTGCCACGTTATTGCACGCTCCGTTGAGCCTCCTCTATTGCAAATCGGTCAAGTGTGTATTTGTCGGATATATAGCCCGGCAGGCAGATATTCAAGGAGCTGGAACACCCGCCCTATTAATTTGCATATTATATTATTATCACGCGTGGATAGTCTAACAGCGTTTCGTCAAATTGCACATAACAAAATATCTCTGGCACGAGCTCTCCCTTCACACGATCCAAACGAATTGAATGAATTTGATTTGAAGTAAACACGTCGGTTCACTGAAGATGTCCCATTGACGCGTGCACACCTGTCACTCATATTTTGTCTTCAATGAATATTTTATAGAGTGATTTTAAATTATTACGTATGAAAATGCTCAAGCGAGTGGTACAATGTGTTTTCTGAGTTTGGTTTGTTGTTAGGAAATATAGTGATTTGGAGGCGTTGATTTGAATTATATATTCTACTAGTATCTGAAAGGAAGGTAACTCGAGTAAGTAGTGCAAGTAAATATTTGTCTGCCCATTTTTCTTTCTTCTGTGTTCTTGCTGAAAAACATAGTAACTTAAGAGTACTATTTTATAGAGTGATGTTTTACAATGTTTTATACTGTGCATAGTCTACGTAGTATGCATTTCAGAATATCCGTAATAAGTAGTACAAGTCAATATTTGATCAGGCACTAAAGATTCTTTCTTAAATATATCTTTTCCTAAGAAGCGTGAATATTTTCAGAAATTTGTAGATTACCTATGTATAATATATTATTTGAAGAAATTTAAGTAGTACGAGTCAGTATTTGATCGCCCATGAGAGACAAGGTTCATATTGCTATATCTTTCAACGCGAAGCAAATCTTTTACTGGACGACATTACAGATTTATGTTTATTTAAATACATTATTGCACAAAGATGTTTTTGATAAAAAGAAAACATTATATTACAAATCTTATAAATCTATAAATTTTCAAATTCTTCCGCAAGCCACGTTTGTGACTCGTAACAGATACGATTTGAGCCCGCACGATTCACGGATCAAAGTGCGTAAGCAAATATATTTAAAATTCTTTTCCTCAATAGCTATAATTTAGGTTGCAGGGAAATTTCGCGACATTATTACACGGAACGATACCATCCTCGTTGAATTGTTGTTGAGGGTTGCAGACCATTTGCGGTTCAATATCGTCTTCGTCGTTTGCAACGCAATGCACGATGCGCATCTCGAGCGTGGCACGGATGCATTATTCGCCGTGCACGTTACTGTACGCGTCGTTGAACCGACTCCATTGTAAATTGGTCTGGACGCGTTTGTTGGGAATGTTGCCTAAGGGGTGAGGGTAGAGGGTCGGCCGCGAAACGTCCGAACCGAAGGGTGAAACCGTTGAAACGCGATAAAACCCCCTTATATTGAATACGTGGCTCACATCTCAATAACTCGATGCACTTACTCAATGCGTTATCGATACGATACGATGGCTCGAAGAAAGAGTGATGGACACACAGCATCTCTACATAATCTTCCATCGTTATTGACATACACGTGTGTCACCGTGTATGTCAATAACGGATGATCACGTTTTTCAGAAATATTTTTTTTCTTTTATCGTTTCGCTTTTATTTCCAATCGGCCGAACGAAATTTCAAAATTTTCAATGGTCTAAATTTCTCAGATCACGAGACCCCCAAGATACGAAAATATTCCGAGATCCCAAATTTCCGAAGCTGCAAAATTCCAAAATTTCAAGATCCTAAAATTCTAAAATTTTATGATTCTGAGATCCCAAAATTCCGAGGATCTAAAATTATGAAATTTCTAAGAATTCTACAATTCTGCAATTCGCAAGACGCCTAAAGGCCTAAATTTCTAAATTCTTTTAAGCAAATTTTACTTTCATTTAGCTATAAAATCGCTATAAAATTCGAAGAAAATTCTACAATTTTACGAAGACTTAAATTTCGAAATTCCTCTAGGCAACTTTAGGTTAAAATTACTTTCACTTAGCTAGCGTATTAGTCAAATTTTTCCTTTACAGGCTTCCGTTCTGTAATAATTTTGTTTTGTACAGCCGAAATTTCAGTTTGTCGTTGTTGGCAATGTCTCGCCCTCTCGAGCTCAAATTACGCAAAGCTCGATTTCGCAAATAACCTCCGTACTACAATTTCACGACCTAAGCTTCGCTTGGTTCCTGGCTAGTTTACCAAAGGTTCAAGCGGATCGAGAAGAGATTTTGACGTCATTTATCACGCCCGATAAGATTCATTGGATCCTATAGTTAATCGCGTTAACGATCAATCGTTCGACGTACTTATTTTCCGCCACAACGACTTTCCAATTTTTCCCACGCAATATTTTTGTTATTTAATATCAACGAGTTGACTAATAATTGTGTGTTCGCTTCAGTTTTTACGATTCCCGCAGAAACAAGATTTTCAAATTTCGATTTTCTCATTCAATTGATATTTTATTTTACTGTTAAATTAATTCTACAATACAGTGATAATTCTTATAGTTGATCTTTACGATGTTTTACGTTCTCTTATTCAGACTTGCTCGTACACGATACATTAATTGCCCGAGATCACGTCTCCATTACTCTAGAGCTTTTGTGAAAGAACAAGTGAACGATGCAGCGTAGAAGCGAGTGAAAACGGTGTTTCATCGTTATTTTTCACAAATTGGGCTGGCAACGCTTTGACCTGTAGCGAAAATTGAATCAGACCGTACATTCCGTTGCAAAACGACAAGAAAAATATTCGACCTACCGTGTTATTCGATTATTTCTTGCTGAATATATTCTTTTTTTCTTTTTTTTCTTTAATTTACGATCCCGCCGCGTAGAAGCTGATTTTTCGTCCTTCGATATCCAGGTGAAACATTCCCTCTGTTTATAAGCCGCATTATTTCGGCATAAACTGATCGTGACATTAAATCGACTTCGACGTTTTGAGTAATAATTTCCTCAATGACTAATAAAAACAAATATCGATGAAACAGTTTTTCACGTGAAATTTATAACTGATAATCGTGTAACTTTCCGCTGGGTAATTAATGGTAATTGGCACACGACGAGATAATTGGGAAGGCGAATTCATATCGAGGTCTATTAGCTGTGCATCCAGGCCGACGTAGCTGGCAGGAAATTTCTGATTAATTAGTGAACTAGGATGCGGTCGATCCGTGTGGCTCGGTATTCTATAATCATTGGTTCGTTTTCGAGTTACGCAATAATATTAGATTACGCGTTAATATTATTCCTTAATTCGCAAGTGATGACTCTCCCGCAGTTACGTAAACGAGATTCTCACGTTATATTTTCAAATTATTTCAGAATTAAATAAATACTTGTACGTATATCGTGTGTCACATATATACGAACTCATTATGTACGTGTCATTCTCGAGTCACAGGCACGTCCTCTTCATAAAATTAATTCATTGCAGGAAAACATAATTCCAGTTCGTTTGTCTGGAGGAAATTAAACGTATCGTTACTCCACGTAGCAACAAATTAATTTGGGATGGAATTTCAAAATTTCGTGCGCGACAAACATGTTATTTTCATGGCCATTCGTAAATTTCTATTGTGTAAGCACGATTTATCGATGAAATTTTCATTTAAATATCAAACTACGAGCCAGCAATATAAATATAAAATACCATGCTTCGATATGAAACATAAGATTCCACATTGAAAATCGTGAATTTTTTTTTTTAAACAGAACGACTAAATATAAATACATAAATTAATATAATCCAACCGGAAGAGTATCGGAATTGTAAATAACTTCCTTTGATATTCAAATACTCTGATGGCCAGAGTTGCATTTCAAGACGATTCATGACTTCAC